ACTAGACAAAGAGCAAATTAAATCCAAAACTGTGTAGAAATTTGACTCTTTAAGCACCAAGTTAAATTCAGAAAACAAGCTTAATGTAGAAAACGATTCTCAATTTGATGATGAAAGTGATATGAGTGAAATCTCAATGGAGGATGAGGTTGACTGTTCTGAGTTTATTAAAAATGAATCCGTCTCTACAAAAGTCCTTATTTTTGATCATTCAGTTGAGTTCGCACGTATTTCTAAAGGTAAACTTGAAGTTTTAAAGTTAAAAACGGTTGTTTTTCTTAAAATCCAAACTGTTCCTAAGCAAGGTTTTGCAACAAAAGGACTAGACAAAAACCAAACAGTTAAATTAACGTCCATGGTCGATGACGACAATAAAGATGGATGTGATGAGTACTTTTGGTCTACACCAATTGACAATGCAGATGAAACCAAAGGTCTAATAGAAATGACCCCATGGAGAACAAAAAGCGGATACGTAGCAGAACCCCTAAACAAAGTCAAATCAAGCTACGAAAAGGGAAGTCCAAGTGGAACTAAGAGTGTTCCAAGTGATACATCATCAAGTTGGACCTAAATCCATACAAGAAAGTCAAAACCTAGGGTCAATATTCACAAATCCTCAAATCGGTTCGCAGCTCAAAAACGCCAAACGAATGCTAGATATAACAAGTATCTTAAGGAAAGAAAGCAGTTCTGGAAATCAAAGAATCCAGATTTCGTTCGTAAGGAAAAAGTCCATACAAATGCGAAAGTCTCATCATCTACGAAACCTAAGACTTTTCAACAAATTCATGCACCTAACGTTTCACATCATAAAGCTTCTCAAAAATCATCATTTCAAAATCATGCACCTAAGGTTTCGCAAGTCGTGAAAGGCAAACGAAAGATGGTTTCGCAGTCTAAAGTTCCTCTGAAAAGATCTGAAGCAAACCTTAAGCAAGTTGTGAAAAAGGTTGTTAAACAGCAAATCCAAAATAATCAAAAGAAATCATCCACCAAGGATGTTAACTTAAAAGATAATAGGATTACTATTTTTAAAATCACAAAGAAAGACAAAACAACCTTAATAAAACGAACATATCTGGACGATCCTTGTATTTCTTTTCCCGTGAAAAACTCACAAGGGCCCAAACAGCTTGTGGTTCCTAAATTTGCTTAACTTTCACAGGTAATACGTGACGAGCAGTTTGACTCTGAATGGCATATTGATAGTGGCTGCTTATGTCACATGACAGGAAGGAAGGAAGAGTTACGAGAGTATAGAGCGCTAAAAGATGGTGGAAGAGTAAAGTTTGGCAATTACTCACTTGAAGAAATTAAAGGCTATGGGATGATCACAAATAGCAAATTCTCTGTTCGCAAAGTGGCTTATGTGGAAGGCTTGCAACAAAATCTAATCAGTGTTTTGCAGCTAGTGGTTGGCACAGGATTGAAATTTTTGTTTGACGATGAGGGCTTTGAAATCATCAAAAAGAAAACAAAGAATATCCTCTTAAAGTCTGAACAAAAAGGAGAAATGTTTCCTCTCAATATGAAACAAATCAAAGGGATGTCAGCTATTTGTCTACTTGCGAAAGCTTCATCTAACGATAGTTGGTTATGGCATCGTAGACTTTCGCACCTAAACTTCAAAGACATCAACAAGTTAGTTCTTGGTGATCATGTGTGAGGACTACCACTCTTGAAGCACGATAAGGAACATCTTTGTGCAACATGTGAAATGGGGAAGCAGAGCAGGGAAGTCATCCGACCATTGTAAATACAATAGTTATTGAACCATTAGAACTTTTGCATATCGATCTGTGTGGTCCTTCTGCAATCCAAAGCGTTGGTGGTGATAAATACATTCTTGTTATTATAGATGATTTTTCTAGATTCACTTGGGTTTATTTTCTTAAGTAGAAATATGAAGCAACTCCCAAGCTCAAAGATTTTATAAAGCAGATAGAGCTTCAACTGCGAAAGCTGGTTCATAACGTTCGTAGTGACAACGGGTTATAATTCAAAAACCAAGTGTTTGAAGAATTTCTGACTACGTAAGGAGTTTCGCACAACTTTTCAGCTACTTACACTCCACAACAGAATGGGGTCGTTGAAAGGCAAAACCGATCCTTGTGTGAGGCTACGAGAACCATGCTCTCATTTGCGAATCTGCCTCTCTACTTCTGGGCTAATGCAATTAGGACAACTTGTTTCCCTCAAAATCGCTCAATTCTCAATAGAGAGAATCTGAAGAAGGGTGTGAAAAAAAAGCTAAAAAATAGCGGTTTTTATAGGCTGGGAAAGGGTGCTCGTCGCGCACATGGTCGATTACATGCCTTCCACCTGGTTGGATTTGATGTTGTGGCGAGAAACAGGTGGTGATAAGTCTCGTAATCTGGGAGGCGTGTCATGCGCGCGGTGCAAACTATCGAGACGCGTAGCTGCACGCAATAATTTTTTTTTTGAAAAATTGCATAACTTCTCCGTACGAGCTCCGTTTTCGATGCGTTTTACATCTACGCGTAGCTATCGACGGTATCTACAAGTTTCTTTTAGACTCCATTTGCAATTTTTTTAATTTATTTTAAAGTTATATTTATACTGTTTTAACCTATTAAAGTCCATGTAAAAATCATACGATATCTGTTAATGAATGTCTTATATTGAACGATAGGTACGGACGAGATCTTCGGCTCTGTTTTTCCTAAAAATCAACCGATCTTAATTTTGGTTTTTGTGTCGCATACTACTACGTTAAAACTTCTAAAAATTACAACTTCCTCCTGCGAAGTTAGATTTAGACGTTCTTTATATGCACGTTTTCGGTTTACGATTAGTATGACTTTGATTTAGATTGTTTATGCTAATAAATAATTTATGGATGATTCGTATTTTATGACATAAATAGTCGTCTCGGTTTAGTCGCGAAACTTTGAATAAGCATAACTTCTTCGTACGAAGTCGGGTTATGATATTCTATGTATCTACGTATATTGTATTGAGGTTTCTTACATGTTTATGACAATTACTTTGGCTAAAACGTAACATATCTCTACTTTAAATTTTATAAACGATGGTTTATATTAAATTCCCTTGAAATTCCAAAATAGGGTGTCACACACACACAAATATATATATATATATATATATATATATATATATATATATATATATATATATATATATATATATATATATATATATATATATATATATATATATATACCTCCCATAATCATTTTATGTCATATTTTAAAGTATAACGAGTGTTAGGTATATTTTTATGACAAGATTATTAATATTGTTATTAGTAAATGAAATGTACATAATAATAAATAACAAGCTTAAATAAACATAAATAAGTTTAAAATGATATAAATAAACGTAAATGAATAAAATGACATATAAATGTAAATAGATTGTGATTATATAATTTTTGTATATTAAACTGTAAATTTAATGTATTAAGGTGTGAATTTTGTATATTAAACTGTAAACTGACTGTATTAAGTTGTGAATTTTCTACGAATTTTATATTTTGTTCTGAAATATGAGAATGAAGAATCATTATACACATATATGATTCTCTATAATTTAAATAAATTATATAAAATTTAATTTGTTAATATCGTATAAATTAAAATATGAATGAATGTATTAATGAATATATTATACTAAAAATTATAATTGTGCCATTTTCTTAACAAAAAGAGAAAAATTATGATTTTAACATATTTGGTAATATTCACAATACATATTTACTTATGAAATTAGGGTTACTAAGGTTCTTAATCTTTTACGGTTCTCATTTGAACCTCTCTTTATATATATATATATATATATATATATATATATATATATATATATATATATATATATATATATATATATATATATATATATATATATATATATATATAATCATATTATTTTACATCAAGTTTTTAGTTTATTATATTTTTAAATATTGTATACTTAATGAAAATGATTGATTTATTTTAGAAACATACATTTATCAATATTTTAGTCGAATACTTCAAACGAGGAATTTCATACAGGATGTCTATGGTCCAAACCGTGACATGTCTAAAATGGTGCTAGTGTCACACGATTTATCTCTAATATGTATTCTGGGGTTTATTTGAACCGCTTAAATGATACGATTTACTATTGATGTACTTGCGATGAGAGCCTAGTGGTTTAGGTGTAGAATTTCATACAAAATATCAATGGTTCAAACAATGACATGCCTAGTATTCTATGATTAACCTTTCACATAGATCTTGAGATGAATTGATGTCGTCAGCTCAGCTCAGATGATGGAGTTAAGGATCAAACCAATGAGACCATTTATGTAATTTACTCTACATATTATTTGTAGTATAGTTTCATAATAAATAAACTTATTTATTTTATAAAGAAAAGTCGTTATTTAACACTACGTTAGTAGAAATAAGTTGTTGAGTTAGGCTACCAACCAAAGTGACATAATAAGGTACGCAAGGAAGTTAAAAATGATGTTTTGTCTAACAAAAAAGAGAGTTTTGGTGGGTAGTTTAATTCACTTAACTCGACTACTTAAGATTTGCTTTACACCGCTGATAGGCACAGTAAAAACATTAGTTTGCTTACTTTTTATGGTCTGACTTTTAACTTAAAATTGTTGATTAACTTCTCATGTTAGTTCATTATAAGACCCAAGAGTGGTGTAGGTGAGCAGCTTTCTCTGTCACATCATTATTTTTCTCATTAAAACTCAAGAATGGATGAAAATTTTTTCTCACTATTTGTTTTTTTATTATTTTAAATAAATTTAATTCATTTTTATGATTTATAATTTTTAAATTAATAATAAACATAAAATTTAATTAAAAATAAAGTGCATTTTATTAATTAAAATAAAAATTACATTAAACTTAATATTTAAATAAGTAGAAAATTAAAAAAAAAAACAAAAAATCAAACAAACCACAACATAGAAAACATAATTAATACCCTAATTAAAAAAACAAAATACGTCATTCGGAATCATCGTCCTCGTCATCGACTTCATTGTTTTTGTCATTCTCCTGAACGCCACTCTCGTCATCGGAATCTTCGTTCTCGACGAACATATCAGAATCCTCATCTGATTCTTCAGACAAATCATCGTGCCAATACTCTATCAACGGCTGAATATGAGCCATATAAACTTGTTCCACCAAATTAGCACGAAGGGTGTGATGAATGTCGCGATTGTGTACTTCTCTTCTGTTTGCCCTATACACTTGTGTACCAACGGCTACTCCTTAGACATTTGGCAAAACTTCATTTTCGTTGTACCCACATATCGCTCTTCATTCGTCTTCAAGAATCATATTATGCAATATGATACATGCACACATTACGTATTGTAACCTTCTCACTTCAGCTGACCTTGCCCCGACTGCTAGTACTTGCCAACACCTCTTAAGTACATCAAATGTTCGCTCTACATCCTTCCTAGTCGACTCTTGCGCCTGTTAAAACTTTCTTCATTTTCGGGTCGTTAGGACATGTAAACGATTTCACAAAAAACAGACAATGGATGATAAATATATCATCAGTAAGATAGTCTCCATGTTTATATGCTACCCCATTTGCTTGAAAAGGTACATCGTACGACTTTCCAAGGTAGATATCGTTGAATACCAGCGAATGGTCTAGCACATTCATGTCATTGTTTGCACCAGCTAGACCAAAGAATGCATGACATATCCAAAGATCAAGTAATGTGATAGCCTCTAGAATGATCGTCGGCTCTTTGTGGTCGCCTCTCATGTACTGACCACGCCATGCGTTAGGGCATAATCACCAACTCCAATGCATGCAATCGATACTACCTAGCATTCTAGGGGATCCATGTTTGCCTTCATGCACCGTGTACAAATGGTGGATATCGTTCATAGTTTGTTTGCGCATATATCGTTGCACATAAACCAAACAAACAGGTCGCTTTGCAGAACTTGTACACACACCCCCGCACGATATGCTATGACATCCTAAAATACTCATCCCATTTGTCTGCGCCCATGCCATATACTAACCGACGAATTGCAGTACGTAAGAATAGTTCGTTCCTCATCCGGAACCGATGTCGAAACTTTACAGCATAGATGACATCATATGCAAAGTAGTCTTCTATAAAACGATAGTGTCCGACTTCGCGATTTCTACACAATGTTGGGTTTCTTGGTTTAGATCGTCCACGTGATGTTTTCGCCTCGTCGGTTTTGAAAGTATGCACTGTTTTCGCCATGACAGAACCGATAAACATAACCTCCTCTTAAGCCGCCGAATCGGATGATGAAGATGATAGTAAGAAGGTATGGGTTAAAAAATGTTGGGTGTTGTGGTATTTATAGTGAGGGAATAGAAAATATATATATATATATATATATATATATATATATATATATATATATATATATATATATATATATACCCGTTAGAACCAAAAAAAAAATTCAACAACCAATCATGTGTGGAGTGAGAATGCGGCAATTCTTCCCCTCGTCCGGTTCCCGCGCATCGCTTCCCGCAACCTCGGTGTGGTGTCATCGGAACGGGAAACGCCCCACCCCTCCTTCCCACACCGGCTCCGTCCGGTCTAATAGACTACTTAAAAACCGTGCTTCCAAATGTCCAATTTTCATTGATAGTGGTTATGTCCATAATTAGTTTTTTTATTCTAGGTTATTATACAAGTTAGTAACCCGTTAGTTATACAACTTTACATGTTTTGCAGCTTAGACATGCCGTTAATAATTATTACTTCATAGTCAATGATATAATCATTTTCATGAATATTTATTTTTCAAAACTTGAACTAAATAATTTTAATATGCATAGTACACGAGCATTCACCTAGTTTAATATGATTAATGCCATGCCCAACCCTAAGGGTGCTGCACAGTGCTCCGGAAAAATAGAGCCCAATTTATATATATATATATATATATATATATATATATATATATATATATATATATATATATATATATATATATATATATATATATATATATATATATATTACATTATGCATAAAAATTTAAAAATGTCTTCTAGTTTAATTAGCTAATGGCACTATTTGTATTAGAGTCTTTTAAGTTCGGCCTATGTTCGATCCTGACATTATGCAACTTTTTGTTTTTTTTTTAATGTAATAATCGTAGTTTTAGTAATAAATAAATTTTACATGTACATCTCATAAAATAGTTATAGTTTCCTTTTATTTTTGTTTTGTATGTAATAATCGTTGTTTTAGCAATAACTAAATTTTACGTTGGGAATCCTCCTTATCTTGTGATCCAGTTGAGAAAATGGTAGAGATTAGATGTGACATGGCATGAGCCATAGGCGGATCCAAGGGGTATCCCGGGATACCCCTCAAAAAAATTTCGGTAATGTAATTTTTTTAGAAAATTTTCGTTTTTTTAGTGTATATATATGCATCCCTTCACTTATAAACACAAACATATAGCTAGTCTACTGGGTAAGGTGTCGGGTTATTAGAACAAAGGTCTTAAGGTCAATTCTTGTTCCCTACAAATCCTTTGTTTATATTTCTTTTATTTTTCCAGCTATTCTATTCTCTTTTAATTTCTAAGCTATTCTATCCCACATCGCAAAACACATGTAAACTCAGTTGTTTTCATCTATTATAAAATCTTATCATCATGATTCATTTTATATCAACTTTGAGTCCCACATTGATTCAAGTATCAAAAAATACTTCAACTTTATGTTTATATAACAAGACTTAAAGTTAGCTAACGATTCTATTAAGGTTTGAGTTTAATACCAAAACCAAACGAGGAAACTCATGTACAAACTGAAAACCATAACATCAAATTGATGGGTTTGAGTTTTGTTTGGTTTTAAAAGTTTCAAAACCGTCGCTATCAGATTTGGGTTTGATTTTAGGTCAAAACTGATCCGACCCGCCCCATGCTCAGCCATTGCGGTGATATCCGGAAAAAAAAATTAGGATACCCCTTTGCTTTGAGTCTGGCTCCGCCACTGGCATGAGCATGCACTGAGTCACTCAAGAAGTCAAGATCTAAAAATCCTTCTTCATCGAAATCAATAGGAGAGTCTCAATCGTCATTAACCTTATCAGAAACAGCAAGATGGTCTTGTTGGTTTAAATTCTCCCCTATTTTATATCCTTTAAAGAAGTATCAATAGGAACAATAGTGGCAGTAGGAAGTGGTTCTTTATCTTTAGTAGACTGCTGAGTCTTAGATGACGGTAGCATGGGAGGATCACTAGGAGATTGTTGATCGTTGGAAGGTGGTGGTGTCGAAGGTTGTGGATTACTTGTTGAAGTCTGAAGAGGATGGAATAATCCCATTCTTGATAGCGGCTACATCAGTTTCAAGACGCTCTATACGTTGAGCAAACACATTTGAAAATTCTAATAACTTACAAAGGGATAGTAAAACATGAGATGGTGTTTTTGCTAAGCAAAACCATGCTCATATGCTACCTCACTTTCAGGCTAAGCTTGAATAAAAATGCTGTGCACTGATTGAGATTCCCTTCGTTGTGGAGCAGGGGAAGAAGATTTAGAAAATCCAAATCGTTGATTTGATGCAACAAGTTTTTTAGGGATATCTTGAGATGAGGAGTAGGATGAATTGAAATATATGTGCTTGTTAGGACAAAGAGGAGACTAGTCAATGAGACATGATGGATTAGGGCAATGTAGCACTGGTTTTCTGACTGAAATTGAAGGGAATGTTTGAAGTCCCAGGAGATAATTCATTGTCAGAAAATTCAACATCTTCATCTTCTTTATCAATATATTCATCCATATCATCATCTTCATCATTTTTATCTGACTTAGTTGCTTCATTATCAGACTCTTCCTTAGAAACTACTTCATATGTATCCTCATTTAAAGGATATAAGGTTTCCTATACGCACAACGGAGAATAGGGGCGGCGATCACGTTGATAGGGATTCAACACCCACTTGGCCACCCAATAATTGATTGGAGGATCAGTAGATTTGGGTGATGCATTAATCAATTTTGATGACATAAGTGGATCTTTTTCTTCCTGAGACAGAGTTGACAAACTAATCAAATATTAGTTGAGCAAAGTTTAGATGCTTGTTGTTCACAATTGCATATAAAATCCTCATCTCAAATAGATTTAACTGGTTTATACTCCCAGTTTTGTGCTATAATCACTTTCCAATAACAACCATGAGAATTTTCCATCTAGTAGGAATATATTGTCATAGTGTGACATCCCCATTTTCACGGCCAGAAAAGACCGATTTTGTTTATGCTTTATAAAAATCAGAGTTCTTCTTTTAATAAAAAATGTTGCGGAATTTGTTCCCAGAAAAACACGATAAATACGTTATTAAAACATTTTCGAAGAAACGTATTTTATTCATTTTAAAACGTTTGGGATCTCATTGTTAATATAGAAACATAAGCATAAACAGAACTTACATTTATTTACACTAGTGATCTACATCTCTTTAAATCTCTCAGTGTAATGTGACTTCATATCAACACCTGTGATATAAATAACTGAGTGGGTCAGGTTGGGAAACCTGGTGAGTACATAGGGTTTTCAACCCACAATAATATAATTATTATGTTTAAACAATCAAACAATCAACCCAATTACCCATCCCCATTATCTTCTTTACTCTTAAGGATTTATCCTAAGAGTCATCTATCATGCATTCGTTTATTCTGTAGTCCCTTACTTCCAGGGTTATAGGACTGGCACTAAATCCATAGCTGCCAATGTTCGTTCATAAAGCACTAATTCCATAGTTGCTATAGTCTATTCATCGGGTACTAAATCCATAGCTACCAGTGTTTATGTAATAGGTACTAAGTCCATAGCTACCAATTCCTAACAGGTACTAAATCCATAGCTACCGGTGTTTGTCCAATAGGCACTAAGTCCATAGCTGCCGATGTTTATTAGGCACTAAATCTATAGCTGCCAATGTTTACTCACATCATCTTTTATCTCTCATCATTCATCTAACCATGTCATACCCAACATATTTGTATATATAAAATACGTATACAGTTTAAATCCTTTAAAACATGTATAAAACGTTCATACAACATAGACAACAAGTATTCAGATAATATGCACACATAGCACATAGTTTATATAAAATACTTCATATCTATGTGTAAGATGAAAGGGACCACGCACTCACCTGAAAGGTGGTGACTCAACACTCGGACAACGCTTCGATACTCTCAAAACAATTTCCTTCGATAAAACTTAGTATCAACACCACTAGGGTTTAGTCTAACGATAACCGCGACTAATTAATAGTCTAGCTATTATTATTATATAAGCGTTAAATAACACTCAATATAACTCATAATAATAGCCCAAATTATTATTTTAAAGACCTAATAACATTACTATATCGAAACATAAGCTACGCTAAAGATAAGGTAGGCGTAGCTCACTTACAGTGGGTTTTCTTGAAAACCGCGCTTCGCTGGAGCAGCGTATCTGAGCCGAAAGACCCTTTTCTCGGGACTCCGGGTGCCTCGGGGCTTCCTTCGGGTGCTAGGGGGTTTACCTAGGCTTTAGGGAGGGTTTGGGAGGCTAGAGAGAGAAACTAGAGAGAGAAAGAATGTTGGAGAGGTGTGAAGAGAAGTGAATGCCCGAAACCTCTATTTATAGGAGGCCTGACTGGTGGAATCGTCGAGTCTGAGTCATGACTCGCCGAGTTGGTGCATGCGGTGGCCTTCTGGTGGTGCCACGTGTCCAATTCTGGTGGTGCCACATCACCCTATCGCGTATCAGCCTTCAAACTTAGAAAAATCATAACTTTTGCATACGAGCTCCGTTTTTTATGTTATTTATATCCACGATTGGGTAAAATCAAGATCTACAACTTTCGTTTAGACTCCATCGGCTAATTCTCGACCGATCTCAAATTTAATAGTAGGAGGCGTTTAGACTGTTAAATGACCGCGAAGAATTCATAACTCCTTCATACGGACTCCGTTTTTGTCTGTATTTTTACCGTTGAGTTCCTATTAATGAGATCTTCAACTCTCATTTAGGTCGCGTAAGCCAAAAACCGCTCGAACTAAAATTCGAGTTTCGGGCTGTACACTGCTAAGCCGAATCGTAGAAAAATCATAACTTCCTCATACGAAGTCAGATTTGGGCGTTCTTTTTTTTATGTTCTTTTTTTAACATATACTACAAATTTCGTTTAGATTTCTAAGGCTAAAAGTCGCTCCAT